GCTTATGGAATCCACCGTCTTTTTTATACCACTTACACACTGGATAAACTCTCTATGAGCAAAACAAGCAAAAATTGAGGTTATGCGTTGACTTCTTTGTCATTTTCTGGCACTTAAAGAACATAACCATACGTCGATACATAATATGAATGGAATAAAATGGTGAAGCTTGGTTCTCTCTGGTTGTTTATAAAGCCGAACAAGCGTAAACATATGCAGACACCTGTAAGTACATACATACATATATATCTATATATGTAATCTATATATGTATGTACCTCTGTATATAACCATTTTATGACGCGTATTGCTACAACTAATCGTCACCGAGTTTGATTTCTTTGTTATTGTTGTTATATGTGCATTAAGCACACATCTTCTGATTGCAAACGGCAATCAAGTAAAATACTCTCGTTGCCATTTCTGTTGATACATCATATAACTACATATAAATTTACAAAAAATATGTGTATACATATATATGTACATGTGTCACATATATATACATGCATACTGTTGTATAGGAAAGTTGCTACATAGTTGCATTTGGTATCGCATACTTAGCAAGTCATGCCACACATCCGCAATTAGGGATGCACGTTTTCCTATTAAATCGATACAAATGTATACTCGGCATATCCCCATACTTGAGTAGGTATGTGTGTAAATTGCGTGCTGAGAATTGCAGCACAAGTCGTCTGAGAGGAATTTCTGCAATCTCTGCTTGGCGTCAGTTGGATTTATGCTTAAGTTGTGGCAGCGTTTTTATTTGCTTTAATTGTTTCCTGGTAGCCTTGGTTATAGCGATATATTTGTATATAGCCGCTATTGGATTTTGCGAACAGAACGTATGTATTAAGCGACTTCGATTTCTCACTTATTTGTTTGCTGTGCTCTCTTTGTTAAGGAAGTGGAAATATACGAGAGTACGAATATACCTTCCTAAAGTGATATAACTTTTTATAACTCCATTTCACTTTTATTATGCCAGTTTTTGTCATTTATGCCAATTGTTTGTTCGATTCGTTTTGGCGAAATAAAGAAAGCTTATATATAAATATAATAATAAGGATATCTGAGTAAGGTTTTGCATTCAGGTTCTTACTAAAATTCGCATAGTCCCAAATTGTTTTACAATCTTCGGAACACCGCATATTTTTGCTTTTCCTTGTGATTTTCTTCAAACTTCATACAATATACATATCTACTCTAAAATTGGCAAACAATGCCCTCTTTCTTTTCCAAGCAGTTTCTAGGCGTTAGATAGCGTTGCATGCGGTCTGTTAAGAGATATATTGAGATTATACGATCTCTTGCTAAGATTATAAACTCACGTTCGTGCTCTTTCTAACATTATCTTTCTGGCCGTTTGAGTTGAGAAGATTTCATTTTAGCTTAGACGCCGTAGCTACTTTAAAAATGTATTGTATCCATTGCTCTCATTACATACATATATATACATTGTATATATAATATTTTCCCAATCGGCTTAGGAGAATCTCAGGGTCTCTTATTACTCCCATAAAAAATTAGTTAGGCAAAATGAGTACTTACCAAAAAGGGTGATGAAAGGAAAAGTATGAAATTTTAGCTTTTATTTAGGCCATGCTTGGGACTTCTTACCCTTTCTTTAAGCTGTACAATTATGGAAATACATTGTTTAATCAAATTTGACCCGGACTAACTAAAAAGCTACATATTCATGTATTTTAATGTAAATCTTAAATATTCGCCTCCCAAAAAGGCTCTTGAGCCAATACAAGTATGCCAACGCTGAATCCAAATTTCCATACTCTTGTTATAAGCCTCGGCTGGGATGGCCAAGCGTCAGCGAATTTATATTTCGGCCAATTTTTGGAGCACCATATTCGAAAATCTACGTTTCGTCACCAGTAATTATTTGTTTGACAGAGGTGACGACGACTTCTCGACCTTCACTGAATGCTTTATGCCACTTAAATACTCTTCGTTCGTGATAAAGTAGACTTCTCAAAACATTTTTAACGACTTCAAGCAAACACGTTGTTCAGTTTTTTTCCATGGTAACACACTAATTGACCTTTAAGAAAACAAAATTTAGACGAAATTTGATAGATGGCTGATTCAGGGATTACACTAGGACTACTATAAGCAGCCCTTCGTGAAGCCCCAAAAAATATAACTTCTGTATCTGATCTTAAGTCGCCAAAGCGCTTTGTGGCAAATGCTTACGCGTTTAATTTCTATACCCACAGTTCGGTGGGATATCTGAAAGATTGTGCTCTCAAATGTTTAAGACTTAATCTCTCAAATGCCAGACAATCAAGAAGGAAATGTTGAGGTGTCTTCACCTCGTCTTCTTCCATACAGCTTCTTCAGCTAGTATCTGATCAGATTCTCAACCTTACCGCGTGGATGTCGCTAGGGCCTGTGAGAACTCCCACATCTAGGGAGAGGCTAGTATTAATGAGGGCAAAGAGCTCACTGGATCTCTAACGACCGAGCTTGGGCTAAAAGGATCATGTGAAAGCGCATGAACTGTTTATAGTCCAGCGAGGGCCAAACTTCCGCGAAGCCCAGCTATCGAGTAGTAGAATATTTGATGAAAGTAGAGCACCAACCTATTCCCAGTGTCTTTCCTTGCCAGCTCGTCAGCTTTACAGTTACATACCCAACAGTTTAAATGGACGAGTCCGACCCAAATTTGATCAGATTATATAGCTGCTAGAAATGGACCTGTGTAAGGTATTATAGCTTCGGTTCTTGTTTTGAATTCTTTTCACCACGATTCCCAAATATTTATAGTTTTCTAGTACCAATCAGATAATTGCATAGTTTCGTATATGCTTTCTTCTTTCTTTACTGCCATCAAACCAAGCTCCTGAAATTCGGCCGCCTGTCTTTCCTGACATGGCCTAAAAGTTAGCTAGTATGACTGAACCTAGTTTAAATAAAAAAATATTATTGTCTCTAACTTTATAACGGTTGCGCAAATTATAAGCTAAGAGATGGTGATTGCACTCATTAAAATATAGCGGGTAGTGGTCTCAACATATTTCAATTCCAATGCAATGGAAATATTCTAAATACTATTATTACGTTGTTACAGTACACACACACGCATGTGTATACATCAATGTACATTCATATAGTATATTATATTAACAGTAATAACATGCAATGATATCATGACCAACAGTCATGACTCTTTTTCATTAGGCAAGCCAATAAAATATTGCATGCTTCCATATTTTTCTCACAAAATCATAGGCAATAAAAAATAAAAAAAAAATAAATCAGCGTTGGCTCCAATGGCAGCTAGATAGTAAGAGAAAGAAGTAGATGAAAAGAAGCAGAGAAATGCAACTGGCAAACTGTCAATGGAAAAGTCGCACATTCCGGCAGAGATAGAACGGGGGTGAGACGAGTGAGCGCTGCGCCGGTTGGAGGTGTGGTAGAAAATAAATTGCCTTACCGCTGCGCGTTTTCGGGCGGTAGTTGACAGGAGCTGCTTTTTGGAAGCCATATTAATGTCAAGTTCATTGGCATAATCTATCATCATCACTTCCATGGCATGTCTTTAAAAGTTACCGGTCGAATGGCCACTGTGATGGTATGTTTTATGCGTTCGGCTTTCAATGAATCTCATCACCGGCAATGTGGCTACGCGTTCCTCCGGCCTTTTACTTTATTTGTTTACTTTTTTTTTCGGTGCGCTTGACTGCACTCTGTGTGCGCGCCGTTAATGTGTACTTTTTGTTGTTATTGCTGGTGCTGTTGTTATTTGTGGCAGCACTGACTAAGTCAATATTTCCATGCTTGTGGCAGCCACTTTGTATGGTCTGCAATGGTCTGCAATAGTCAATATTTAGTATACGCGTGTATATCTACAGATAACCACATACATACTATATATAGATGTATATATTACTCTTAGCATATTTTTATGCAGTCAAAGTGTAGCATATCTTGTTGCATGTATACATTAGGGTTGCTCGAATTCATATTGAATTTAAAGTTAGTAGTCTATGAGTACTTAGGGTCACTTGTCGGAGAGAAGCCTTCCAACATATCCCTAAAATAGTGCGGTGTGAGATTTATTTATTTTGTTGAAAAACCGTTGGCAATACCCACATGCTTCTCAGTGTTTGCGCTGAAATGTAGGCAATATTCTTTAATAATGCCAATCATAAATAAGGTGTTGGAAGAGTTATGATTGGTTATTCTTATTATAACTTACTGTAATCGGCACCCAAAAGTTTAAACTCGTTTTTTCGAAACGCTGTTTTTAGAGTTGGTGAGCAAAATTTCTCCAAAACGGCTGAATCGATCGACTTGCAGTTTTCATAGACCCTATCAGACAGGCAGTAATTTGGAATAATAATTCTGATAAAAATTTCGATTTTTAAGCCACTCTGAAGTATAAGGACTTTTTCTGGGAGACCGCCATTTTCTCAAAAATCAAAATTTAGACTAGTCCTTCCATCACTATTTGTAATTATTGTAATGAACATTTATTTTGGGATTTTGGATTTGAGATAAATTTAAGCAGAAAAATCTTCCTCACCGCCAGAAAAAATGTTCCTAAATGAATAAAGGATTATTGAAGTTCATTAAATTTGGTAAATGTACTATGTAATTTTTACTAATTTATTAAGTAAAATGCCTCTTCAAAAATAATTCAATAACAACGATTATTTTCTGATTTGCAAGTGAATTTTTATAAAAACAAGCATCTTAGGCCCTTTTCAATAAAAAATCCTGTCTCTGTAACTGAAAACTGTCACTTGTTTACGAAATTTTCTGGAATCAACATAAGTTTCAGCCATAGAAAATTAATAATCAGTCGGGAAAAATTGGTCTTTTTAAAAAATTGTAATCAATTTTACAGTTTTTTATTAAAATAATCAGGGATAATTTTTTCGTTGTATTATCGTGAAAATATCCAACTTGTGTTTGCAAATATATCATGTTTATTATCTTAAAAAGTTCTAATGAATTTTATTTTTTCTTTTTTACAGGTATGCTTTACAACCTATTTTAACTTCAATTTTGATTTATTTTATTAATGGTAAGTTTTAAAATAGTATAAAAAATAGCGGTAAATTATTCGATTTTTGAGGTCAAAATGCCGTCAAGGGCGATATTCCGTTCTTCAACTTTTCTAACATTTTTGGGGTACGCTTGCTGTTTTACTACAAAATACACCTCAGTGCCGGCAATTACCTCTTCATCATCGCTAAATGTATAATCAATGTGTATTCTCTTCTGGTTATCGGCTTTATTTTAAAGGCAATAATCCGAATTGTGTTAATTGTTGATATTTATGATAGGTTACCCTTAATCAGAGGATGTCTTAAATGCCCTTTATTATGTGCTCTTTTCTACTCTCTGAGATATTTAATCTCAACAATTCAAACATTTCATAAGCTTAAGCCGTCTGGTAATGTTTATCGCTCATTTCAAAAACATTGTTCTCTACATTACTGAAATGCAACTAGATTTATGTTTGGCCATACACTGTCATCTCAGAAATATTCTCCAATACTATTTAGAAAATATTGTATTTCATAGTGCAGTTTCTATATTACAGTCCTAAGCTACTGTATATGCAGTTACTAACTAACTGTATATGCGTGAACTAATCCCTCAGTTTTTAAGATATGGATTTGAAATTCTGCACACATCCTTTTCGCTTCAAGAAGCTACTCATTTATCAGAACCGTCAATATCGGACCACTATAGCATGTAGCTGCCATACAAACTCATCGATCAAAATCAAGATAAAGAACTTTTTATATACTGTTACGAGTATGTTATAATAAATGCAACTGTAAAGGGTATGATAACTTTGGTGTAAGCGAAGTTAACGGTTTTCCTTGTTTTTAGCTAAGAACGTCAATATCAAAATTTCAATAACAACAAACCACCTTAACACTCCTGTTTTGTATATGACAACATCATATTCGTCACGTTTGTACGTGTAGTTGTAGTAAAATCTGCGTTTTTCCAACGCCTTGTTGGACTGGACATGTTGCTTGCAACAAATTGCCTACAGACGAAATGATGATGACGCTGAGTGGTTATTATATTAACTACAGCGCTTACGGCGTTCACATGCAATTATATATGGATAAAAACAAGAAAAAAAAACAACATTTATGTCTGAAATTTTCGTATTTCTTCACAATGCGAAAAATAGCATAACAATTATGGCAAAACACTAATGCCAGCAATAAATAACTGCGTGAAGTATTTGCATGCAAAAGTATGCATCCAAATATATACTCAAGCATATGTGTGTGTGTATAAGTGTTCAACTCACATTGATGAGCCACAATTTTTTCGCGTAGACTCAATAATTTTTCGATGTCAATGCCAGTCGAAAAATGAAAGCAAAAAAAATCGACAAAAAGTGCGCTATTTCAACGCGCAACACTCACCCAACGCATCCGCCGTAGCCACAGCGCCAACACAACAACAAAAACAGTCACAATTCTGTGCTTTTCAATTAGTCAGTGCATGCCATTTCGGTCGGTCTGAGTGTCTGCATTTTGTTTAGCCAACTAATTCATAATCTCTTGAGTCATAAGTGGCCTAAGCGCAAGCACACACATGTACATATGCGTTGTTGTGTGTTTAGTATGTGTTTGGGGCAGGCAAATCGTGCATTACCTGCAGTCAGTCGTGCCGCCACTTACCACATTCCAACCGACGCCCGGTGCAACCTTTCAGCATGCGCCTGCTAGCCAATTCTATTGACTAGGTAGTGACGGCTCTTGAGGGTTCCGTTGCTTTCTTGATCTACGTCGTAATGTTTGTGTGTATGTACGAGTATGTAAGCTTGCAATTGCATTGAGTGCTCAAAAAACTCGAGTCTATACAAAATAGTGCGCAATGCATCTAGAAATGTACACACACATACATACATTCATACATTCACATAAATATCTTCGAGTGCATGTACACTTGTTGAACTTGCACTCACCGGCAGCTCCTTTTGCCGCAATAGGTGTCTGACACTCAAGTAGCTCCGCTTGTTTTGTAAACAAATCAACAAATGCTCTAAAGTGTGCATTTATTTTTATCATTCAATTTTAATTTTCTGCTTTTTTCTATTTTCTATTTATGTTTGTATTATGTACATAGAATATGGTGGCAAATAGTGGTCGGGGAAAAGTTCATTATATAAAGTAAAGTTCGTTTTTCAAAAGTATAAATAATCTTTACTCAAAGCGAATATGCAGCTTGAGTATTTTGTTCTTTGCCGCCACTAAAAGGTGAGGTGCTTGAACTTTGTCGGAAATTTAATCAAATACACACCAATACCCAGTGAACCAATTGTACAGAATACTTGCTCACTTTGACGAAATGCTTTATGAATTTCAAAAAATATATATATTATTTCAGTTTACATATAAGTATATGGTATTTCGAATCTACATATAAATACTACTTGATAATATTGTTTGAAAATTTGTGATTGACTCGGCAAATTGTTTCGGAGATACTCAAAACTTTAAACTTGCTTTTCTGAAAACACTTTGGTCGTTGAGAAAAATTTCTCCGTAACCTTCTTAGATATTTTTGTCAAGTAATCTTCGAAGGAATCAAATTTTTTATAATAATTTCGATTTTTTAAGCCACTCTTTTCACAAAAAAAAACGACTTTTATTTCGGAGGTCTTCCTGGAGATCGTCTACGACATCAAGGGTATCTAAAATGCTTCAAAATAAAACGTTAATTATTAAAGTACATGCAATTCTGGAAATTCTCTTATTTATAAAATGAAATGCTTCTTCAAAAAAGAAAAAATAATAATAATTAAAAAAATGCGTTTTTTTCTGAATTGCAAGTGGATATGATCCCTTAAGTTAATACAGGAGATTTCAATGCTTCAATTTCTTTATAAGTTCAACTCCAATATCTGCTATTTCATACACTGTTCCATTGATGTGTGTTTCAACATGATCTTGATTTCACCATCATTGGAATTTTCGGGATCCATTCAAGATGCTATGAAAGGGTATGGTGGTAGTTCACAAAGTGGTCCCTCTAGATAGCTTCGGCATTCCTTGAAGTACTAAGTCGGCGTTAGCGTGACTAAAATATTGCTAATTATATCGTTAGCCTAAAAAATCCTTGAGCTATAGTTAAAATATTGTTACTTTAATAACCTATTCATATGCAAAACACTTCTTGTTTAGGCTAACTGATGCCACTTTGCCAAATTTTTTTTTGGTTGGTCCTGAGTTTTGTTAAATTCCTCGGTGCTATTCAAGCATGTTAGGCGCCTAGAGCAAGCCTACACGATTACCATTAAGTCAAGCAGTTCCTAATTCGAGAATCGCCGATTCGGAACTTTTCTTGTGAATCTGTCAAGGACGACTGTAACACCGTTTTCGATTTTTTGCTTCGAGTACTAATAGTTGCGCAAAATTCCTTTTAGATATATGGTAGTCGATTATAGTCTCTAGTTTATTTGTAAATATCATTGATAAAAACGCACCGATAAATATTTACGTAGCTTATCAAATCCAATCTATCCCATAATGACGATTTTATCAATCATGGATCAATTGGATTAGCTCATGTTCACATGTTAGATATTCTTCGACGAGAAATATTTTATTTTCAACAAACTTTACTTTCTTTTTATCATCTTAGGTCTTTTGACTGTTTTTTTTTTTAAATTCATAAATATTTTCCAGCAGCTTTTGGTCTGCTGGGATTTTGAGAAAACAAATATTAGTTTATTTATTGTAAACTGCTACACACCGAGCTCATTAGTCGCTTTGACCGCCACTGCTATCTAATTTTTCATTTGCGTGTTTCATATCTATTCAGAACGTGTTTCGGGTTTATCTTAACTCTTTTATTAGCTTTTCAGCAGCTTTGCTTTTATTTGTAATTCATTGCGTGAACTAGTTTCATACGCTCGTCTATATTTGTCGACTTTGTGGGTGTTTGTGTTGAAGCCGAACAGAGGTACTTATTTAGTATTTTTAATTTTGTTGTTATTTATTTTAAAGTTATTCAACGGATATGTTGTGTTCCAATATTTCTTGCCAGCGTTTTTTATCTACGTTTTTTTAATAGTGTGTAGCTTTTCTGATCTCATTACAAATATCTGGTGTTATGGTAGAAGCTTACAACGCAAGAAAATGATGAGAGATCTACTTGCAGCTTAGGTCAGTAGCATCTAAGTGCCTTTCTTAAAATTTGATATGCACTGATGATTTCTTCAGTAAGCTTAGAACTATTTATATGAAACAGAAGCTAAAGGAAGTTGTGTTTGTATGTACATATATTTTTCCGATCATTTACTTTGCCATTTTGACGAGCTCCATGTATACTGTATGCTGCCTCTCCCCTACACTTATCTAAAGCATCTTTACTGATGACGAGACGTTTATGAATATGATGACGAAACTGTCCTACAATATTAAACTTCGATAGTTGTTTTTTTTCTATCAGTCAGAGAAACTATCAAATGTATACGATGTAAATCCAACCGGAAGTTTGCTTTTTATGTATTAGGTAGGCTAGCGTTAGTATTGCCCGATTTTATTTTAATGCAAACTACGTGAAAGTGTGTTTTGTTTTTGTCAGTCTGGGTCAAATTATAGAATTTATTAAGTAAAAGTAGCTTTAATTCCATTGCAAATACACACACAGTTTCAAGTAAATAGTTTTATAGTTCTATAATAAAATTGCTAGTCGTATACCAGTAACTATCAAACAAACTGTCAAGCACGTAAAATCTGTAAGATTTCGTGGGATAAAGCATGTCGGCGATGGTCTGAAATGTAATGAAATCTTACATGTGTGAAATTTTGTTTTTTCTAAGTTCATTCACTTTTATACTTGTAGAAATATATTTTAAAATATTTTTTATATATTTGGGTACATTTTAATGAGCTTAGTATTAGTATAGCCATGATATTTCTACGCTTTCGGTTTAATGAGTTTTTTCACCTTTTTTATTTTTTATTTCAACTTTTGAATTTTTTGCATGCGGTTAGTTTTAATGAACCCTGTTGTAGTAAATTTTAGCATACGTTCATGTTT